GAATAGTCGGATGGGTAATATTTTCAGAAAGGGTAGATAGTGACCAAATCCATACTAGATCGAGTACGTCATATACTTGATCTACTTGATCTACTTGCTCTGCTGAGCCGTAAACTCGGAAGAGTTTTGAAAATTAGAGTAAAGGCTCAGGAGGCGAAGCAAAAACTTTTGCGCTAACGGGTTGCAAACGACCCTCCAGATCTCGTCTGGGAGGTCCCCGTAGCACTTTTAATCTGCATATTCGTAATCAGCATTCGAGGCTCTATCGATGTACCTAGGTCTCCATTCAAAGTTCCATGGGAAGTTCAAACCATTCCCTTGTCAGAATCAGTAGTTGTGTGGTAGATCCGCAGTCCGGTAATCACGGGTGGGGGAAAGTGTACAGTGAACGACATGAAACGGGAAAACCGAAAAACAAAACCACTCCTCCTTTCCAGAGACTAAGTACGGCTTCCTCCTCCCCCCCCCCCTTCCCCCACGATCCCGATAGGATTCTCTCTCAACGATGCTGCACCCTGGCCCCGGTTGATAAAGAAATATCACCACAGGATGCTGTTTACTTTGATCTCCTTGATAATTTGGTGCTTATTCGGTCTTGTAATAAATCGTCCATCAATCTTTCTAACAAGATCACAGATTTTTTGAGATATAAGGCGCATCTCGTAGAGTCACACGCGATAACGCGCGCGAAAAGGTCTCCATGGTTTAATCTTCCGGTTGGTTTTCCAATGCTTCTCGTAGAGTATGGATCTTCCCCAAGTATAAGAACGAAAAGAAATATTCAAAAGTGGAGTATGCAAGAGCAGTCGTGGCGTTAGAAGTGAAGGCGCATCTTATGTATGGGTGTTTTCTATACTTCAGAAGTAGGTACATTGAACGAGAACTTCGTGGAAGCTTCATAGACCGAAGAATGATCAGACACGTAAATCGCATGCTAGACTGACAATACCTCCCGTAATGAGAATGATTTCAACTTGACACTTTTGGGAAATACATGAATGTTGAAAACAATGTGGAAAAACCACAGTAAATAAGTGTGAGGGTTATCTGCAACGAGTTCTATCTGTATTGTTGGAATGAAACTACTAAAATTTAATACGTTGATGTTTTAGGTCCACGTTCTTCTTCAGACTATTGGAGGAAAAACTGAAGTTCCCATGGTTTTCAAAAAGCCGCTATTCAGCTGCTCACATGTCCAAAAGATTTACGCATAAATGTGACTGTTGCAAACCGGAGGGTGCAACATTTTCCAAAAATCTGCTTTCTTCCGGACCTGGAGACCATGACCAGCGTACACCGTACACTGAGCACTGTACCATCAGCTCTACATAGCGGAGCAAATTGCCGAACTTGTGGAACGAAATGAGGCTCAGTACAGGCGAAAACAACAAGGGCAACTAAGGCGTTTGTGATTGAGCGGCATCTGATGTAAGCTGATAGGAGAGATGCATCGCTTCTCCGATGAGTATCATCAAGAACGTGACGATGAAGACCACTATTGAGAAGACGATCAGCAGTAGTCTATCCAACACGGTGGCCAGGTACTCCCATTCCAGTGCGTATCTGAATCACATCAATGTTTTATCACTGCCCACGGTACTGCACAACACGACACCACAACACGACATTGAAGAGAGCCGTTGCACTAGCATGCAAAGGTTCCATGAGGCATAAAGAAAATCAGTACACGTCGTCTAGGTCCAAATTTGATTTTTGCACACTCACTGGTAAGCTAGAACCCCCACTGAGCTCCCAAAGTGTCTGTATAGATCAGGCTAAGCGACTTTTGCTCCGGCTACACCACACACTAGTCATTTGTCGGTTTTGATGTCTAGTACATGTTGTGTGCAGCAGCCGCTGGGTACAGTCGATTTGTCCCGCCGAGGACAGGTTTTCTCCATCACCTCTATCACTAAGAAGAGCGTATCCTCTTCTTGAGAGATGCAGTTCAGGTGTCTTACCGCCAGAATGCCACGACGCCGTACGAAGTGAATCAGGCGGTCCATTGATTTTATACAGCAACATGTTCGAAAGTGCTTCAGCCGTCCTGATGTCGGCGGATACTCTACCAAAGCAACCATGGAGATTCGACCCGCTTTTGCTTGTGAATCGCGCCGTTTATTGGGCTCGCACTGAGACTCAATGGGGCAGGATGCCTGTACTAGTCCAAAATGTCCCATCAAAACGAAATATGAATATAGGCCATCATCGAAAGTGAGACCTACACTTCACGCCCACAGAAAAATGATTTCCCACCATCTCATCAATTTCTCTCATAGTGTGCCTACTGCAAAGCTGTGACGGAGACGACTGACCATCCTCATAACAGGTGGATGCACTGGCAAACTTCATGGGCCGCGAAGCAGTTAGCGCATCATTATGATTATTGCTTTGGCAATTAAAATACTGGTGTGATGATCTTTTATCACAAGACAAACAGACACACATACATTATGTGGTATCATACTCTGGATGCATTCCTACGCTGTGGGTTGCTACCATCTGACAAGTTACGGCAACCATCATTATTGAACCTCCGGCCCTCGACTAGCATATCTATTCACCAACAACATATGGTGCACAAAAATGGATGACGGGAACGAACTAGAGGGTAGACTGGAGCCCAACAGTGCCCACTTTTTTACCAATATTTATTACCGGACAATGCTGCTGCTGAAATATGGCCGCTGCTAGGTTCAAAACATTCCCCTATCGTCCCTCGCCGCAGCCTGTTTTACCTGCAACAGATACACTCAAAATCCCCGAGATTTAGGCGTGGCTGCGTAAACCAAAACGTAGCGGTGGCTCTCTTTTTGGTGAGAAAATTTCATTTAAAACAACTGTAGTCACGTTCCTGGACAATATAGAAGAAGATGACACTTGTCTCAAATTAAAATTTCCCACGAGTAACCCACCATATACCATGTTCGAGTGCCTCAGAGATAAGGAATCTACGAGCTGATTCAATTGATTATTTACCTCCTCTTCAACTTGCTCTCTAGTAAAGTGTTCTCAGTAGTGCTGAGTGCCGAAAGACATTGCATCAATGGTGGCGGTGCACCTTCTTCTTCCTCAGGTTGGAACGACAGCCGTTTCGGCTGTACCTGCGCGGTAGGGCGAGGTGGCGGAGCTGTAAAATCATTCATCGAAATGTAACAATAAAAATATTAGTGTAATAAAAATGTCATAGGGATGTCAAATTGAAAGTAATGTAGACATTATGCATTGTAATAATGACATTATTATTAAGCGAACCAGTTACCACGAAGGAACAGCGCATTTTGGGACTATTTTATAAAAATACCTATCAGTAAAGAAACTGATTCAAATGAAGTTTCCAGCAATTATTTAGATTTAACAATCAATATTACTAACGGTAAAATTAGTACTAAGCTGTATAATAAAACGGATGATTTTAGCTTCAATGTAATCAGATTTCCGTATAGTGACACAAACATTTCCCTTATTAACAAAGCCTCTGTTATATATACGGAAACATTGAGTAGCAAACACCTGTTCATTCTTCAGTATAGTGGGCAAGATAACGGATATGGTCAGGACACTTTTGAGGAACGGTTACGAAGAAAATTTTATTAACACTAGCATAGTAAAATGCATTCACAGTAATAAAATTGTAGGTCACAAATAGTCAATTGTCTTTACCACTTCAATTTTTGTTTCAACCTTTTGTATTTTTGAGGCTGTTATTGTTTGATAACGGCTGTTTTTCGCAGCAGGCGCCGCAGCATTCGAGCCTGCATCTTCAGCTTTCCATGCGGCTGCGTTCCCTTTTGCGCTACCGGAGACGTGTGGAGACCAGCCGATGGATAAGTGGTGTTTTTGTCCCCATGGACTGGTGTTTTTATCCCCATGGACAAGTCCGATATTAATTCACTTTCCGCACAGGGTAGAAGGCTTGGTTGGCCTGCGCGAGAGCATAAACGGAGTTTGACCCCCCCCCCCTGGGCCACGCGCTTGGTAAGCAGTCCACTTGCCGATATACATGCTCTGCCGAAGAAGTGCAAAACAATCAAAGACACTATGAGGAGCCTCCTTAGATTCGTTTTCAGGGCTCTGGTCATGTGGTCGTTGGTTATAAAATCACCTGAAAAGGGGCCTTCTGGACTTCCATGTTTCTGATTAACCGACGTTCTGCGCCTCTGTTACACACTGTTTTCCTGAAATCGATTTCTGTCCCAAACATGCATAAAACTGTTTCGAACGCTCTTCCGCTGAGGGAGAAGGAACGGACGAGCGGAACGCCTACTCAGCAAAAAGTGCCAAACAACGTTCCAGAGTTCAGATTTCACGATGTCAACGCTCGGTCGCGTATTCGACGCGATCGATGCAGTCGAAAGCATGCGTGTCGATCGCTTCCAACGCGCGACCGAAGCGCTACCGTCGCGAAGTCTGAACGCTGTCTCAGGAGGGGGAGGGTACAAGAACAGCGAGCATAAGCTTTCCGAGCCATCAAAGGATCAGGTGTAAACATAATCAAAGGAGCAGATATCAACGTGAAAATGGTCACTAGCTTTCTTCTTATGCACATTTGTCTTGAAAGTCGTACAGGTCCACGGTACTGCCCCCTCATACATTAGGGGATAACATCTCTCAGCTGATAGCTGTATGTGTTCCTGAGTGAAATAGCTGTCAAACAAAGTAGGCTTTTGTTAAAAATAACTTTTTTTGAACAAAGGTATCGCGGATTTACTTCCGTACTCAACTAAACAAGCTGTAAACCACCTTCACTGTTGCCATTGACAAGCTCTTTTTTGTGTCGTTCACTAGCTTTCCTGGCCAAACGCTTCCAGTTGTTCCGAGCTGTTTGACTACGCAACATGGTGACTTCTTCAGCCGGGCTGAACACATAACGTTTTTCTTTGGCTTCAGGCTACGTCCGTGAATTGGCTCTTCTCAAGTTTCTTTGCCATCTTACCTTTCCCGTTGCAACAAGTCTTCCCCTCCCACTGCCAATGTGGACGACCTCAGCAAAGGTGGTTGTGGTGGAGGAGGAGGAGGGCGACGAGGTGGAGCAGGCGACTTCAATAGGAGTTCCGTATGCGAACTTTTTTCTGTGGGCTTAGTCGTTTTCTGGAATATAAATCGGTTTCTTCCACACTTTCAAATAATTCCATTTAAATATCATCATAGCCAAGCTGACAACGAAGTGAATTACCTTTTTATCGCGCTTTCTCCTGGACCGACCGAACTGTACACCAGTTTCCTCCCAGAGCTCGAGCAGCATCGTCGGTGGGTGCATTCGTAATAGTGAAGCAACCTGAATTCTCATCGTCACCTGGGCTGCGCATAAACGACCAAACATACTTCCTCAGAGACACTTCTCACGATAAACGGATAGGCGGAGAAGTGGGCAGGAAATCACAACCATTGCACTTCTTCATTGATACACTCTTGAACTCACGATGAATAGGAGAGATGGGTCAGTCAAAAAGACACTACTCGTCGCAGTTCAGTACCCACGTGAGGGAGATGGGTGCATTCATCTGTTTCATGTCAACTTGCCGGAACGTTTTCTTGAGAGCTGTGAGGCTTTTGCAAGACCATTTTGTATGAGCTTTTAACTCTTGTATGCGACAGGAAGTACTTTTGGATCCGGCGCTATTCCTTCCATGTTTTTTTCGTATGCGGACAGCACAAATGAAGTAGGGAAGGTGTTTGGCGCATGAAAGAAAGTATTGTGAATCAGCAGTATGAGAACTTGATAGGCATGTAGGATCAGGGTACAGCATTGTGATGTGTGAAATGGTGGGTAGGACCGACCCCTACCCTCCTGTGAAGAGAAAGTCGTCAGTACGACCTCCTTCACCTGAGTGAGCGTCTCGGGGCGACCCCTCCCCTTATCCAGCACCAACCTACTAATTACCCCACATTTTCCGGTTTTTCACCCAAAAATTTTCCGTTGAGCGCGAGGAGTGAGGGGAAAGGGAAAAATCATTTGAAAATCAATTTCGGACGAGTTTCCTAGGCATCTTGCCAATAACCGCTACCGAAGATACGGCTGCATGTGTGTACTCATATATCCATGCAGCACCGCGGCCGCTTCATACCAATCCTTCGCTTCATAATTTGCTTAGCAAATGAATCAATACGAGCGTCAGGAACGGTCGTCCATTTGTGGGCGGGCGGGCGTGGTGGGCGTTCGGGTCGGTATGTTGTAGCTTGATAGGCCCTATGAAGGGTACCTTCCTTGAAAAGGCGCTACGCAGCGCCTGCTCAGGGTCGAATTCTGTATTGCCAGGCGTATTGATCCTACTCGTCTTAGGGAATCATCGGGCCAGGTGCCTTTAACCGTGCGTAGTTCGTGTTACAGCATTTCTTCCAAGATCGCGAACAAAGTTTTAGGAGAATCCGTTCAGACATTAAAATACTGTACCCATTAATAATAATAACGCTAGACACCCATCCAAATAGTTGTGGCAAATATCGGTCATGTGCGCTCCGAGCATCGAACGATCATTCAGTTTTCATGCAACTGATAAGTCAGAATAAAAATAGCTCGCGTAGCAAAAGTTCTCTCGCTGAATCCGCAGGGTTGCAGACAATGAACAGCGCGTGAACCAGCCAGTCTATAGTTCGAGCATATCCTCCAGTTTTTCTTTATACTCGACCAAATGAAGCAACAGATTCAAGAAACAGTGCTGTTAATACAATGGGTCGAAGCTGGTCGTCGTTCGGTTCACACGATGAAAAGGACTTGTTGAGGTGGTGAAAGAGGTGAGCGAGTTACATTGTAACGAAGGTCTCGACTCTCTGTAATTTTTCGAGAATATTGCATTGCTTTTTGGACCACTTTCAAGTGCTGGTAGACCTCAAAGTATTGGAGCTAACGAGGTTAGAAGAACTTGGTCCTAGTCTTCGATTCCTGATTCCCGCGCATTTTGCGTCATTTCTCAAGCCTTTGGTCAGTTCAACTAACACTACAGCTGCCTCGCGATTTACTAATTTGAAGGCAGTTGGCACGATAAATTCCTAAGACGAGTAGGATTAATATGCCTGGCAGGACGGAATTCCGCGACCCTGAGCAGGCGCTGCGTAGCGCCTTTTCCAAGGAAGGTACCCTTATAAGGCCCTATCAAGCTACAACATACCGACCCGAACGCCCACCGCCCCCACCCACCCACAGATGGACGACCTACCTTATGCTCGTATTTGCTGCATCGATATATGAGAACACACGTCCAGCCGTACGTACCGTAGGCGTTATAAGCAAGATGGCTACGGGAAACTCGTCCGGAATTGCTTTTTGAGTCAAGAGCGGGGGTTTTTCTTCGCAGGTTAATTTCCGATTCAGTTCTTTTTTCACTAGTTTCCCCTTCTATGTGGGCGGGGGCCTGCTGGCATTTCAGGCCAAGTATCAAACTATCGTGCCAGTGCTTTTAAAGTCACTAACTCAGGATAGCTTTGACAATCTATATCAAGCTTATCTTGCCTATTCTTGGAAGACGAGGTGCATTCCACGCAGGAGACAACATCACTCCTATAAGGAGGGGGTCGTATCTGATGGGATTCCCCCAGTGGTGCTCTGGATGGTCGCTTGGGAGGGGGATATTTGATTGATGGGTATGGTAGCTGATCAGGCAGGAATCCCCGTTGTGGTTGGCCATCACTTCTATAAAGGATGAAAGGATGATCAATTCGCCGTTCATCAACCCCTTCTTGGAATTGCGGCACGCATTGTACTTCCACTCGAATCGTAGCTCGCTGTATGCGATGTATTGAACAAGGGCTACCATACGACATTCCGGTACCGCAGTCAGCGCTTTTTGGAGGGGGATTGATTACTTTGAGGAACTGACTTTCGAGGACGGGTCTTCCCATGTCGAGATGAATGAGTCCGCAAGCAGTAGAGTGCCACTTTCTCCGCTCAAAAATGCACCACAAACTGGGCCCACAGGGCTGGAGGGTAAACCCACTAGTACCACGACTCCGCCCGTGCTGTCCTGAAGATGCAGCACTTGCAGTCCGACCCGATATCCAGGAGCGAACACTCAATGGCAGAGAACAACTAGAAGTGAGAGGGCGCAGACGAGTAGCGCGTTTGGCTACGGTTGGGCGTGAGCTTGGCCGTGCGGCAGCGCGAATAGAGCTCGAAAGCGATAGGCTCAAGAAAAGGCGGCGAACTTAGATATCGCTTTACCTCTCTCGGTGCACGCTTTCGACCGAAGAAAGTGGCACGCTGCTGCAGCTGCGGACCCCACTCTCTGCCTTACACAAGGCAGGGAACAGGATCCGGGGAGGTGAGTGCACAGTTTGTTCTTCACAGAACATTTAACAGATGCGGCACATTTTGAAGCTGCCGACTAGCGTCAAGAAGTCTGACATCCACAAAAAAAACTCTTTGATGTCCCTCCGAACAGGATTTTTGAATGGACAAAATTACAACTGAGCACAATCGCACTTTGGCATTGTGTGAACATTTTCGATTCGTATAGGAACGAAACACACGTAGCGCAGTAGAAAACCCACAGATTTACAATTAAGATCGGCAAGTTGTAATACATGATCAGAAAAAGGAAACTGGATGATTAGCAGACAATTTTCTCCGTGCCAAGAAAATATTGATAACTTTGTACGTAGTGGAACAATGGATGGATTCAATGGAAATCGAAACCGAAATAACCGGTTGAGTATGTAGAATAGTCATCAACAACAATGAAATCGCAATAAAAGGGCTAAGAACGGTAGACATTTCTCAGTCATGTTTTCCGTTTCGACCTTCTCGATGATCTTTTATGTTCTCTCTGCTTTAGTGATGATAGATACACTACTAACTGAACGCCCCAACTTAATTTGGGTGAGTTTAAGCGGTATTTGTTGAATGATTTCAATGGGTCATCCCACAAACAACGCGATTTCCACAGTTCTATACATCTTTGAATGAAGAATGAAATTTTCAGCGCTAAAAACTTTGAAGGAGCGATGAGAGGCCTCCTTATATAGAGCTGGAAACACCTCCATGCCAATGGAAGTACCAAGCTCAACTAGTTCCTCTCAGAACTGCTTGCCCCTTCAGGCCTGTGACGTATGTGGTCAATTCTTCCTTTCCACAATAAGTATTCTAGTTATATTCAGGGAATCCCTTGAATGACCTCCCCCCGAAGGATGATAGTGCAATATTTTCTTTCCTCTCCAGGATACGCACTCCATAATTGTCTAGAATGTTCTCCACCCCTCCAAGGTTTCTTCGAATAAGTCACTGCCTTGTGGTATAGATTTTTAGTCAATCTTACCTATTAAACTTAATTTTTGTGTACCCTTCATGCACGCTCTTGGGCTGCGTTCACACATAGCAGCGTCCACCAGCGACTAGTAGCGTTTCGAGTCTGCTCCCTGGTTGAAGCTGACAGATGCTAAGCCGATATCTATACACTTTCGTAGTCGCTGACGCTGCCTACGCTTGGAACGCTAGTGGACGCCGCCACAAAGTATGAACGCAAATTTAGATTCATCTCTCTACACGGAAATGTTAAACCGATTCTCGTCATTTGATAGCAGCATAAATAAATATTATATGGATTAGAGCATAACTTCCTAACAATTTCGCCTGAGTTTTTTCTGGAGACTTCCACAAGAGGTTTTCGTTGAACACATATTCAAAAGACCCTTTTGTGTGCATTCAAGAGCGCCTTTACTTTTGGAATTTCACGCCGCTATGCTGTGGGACTTCTTACTTGATCTAAA